TCCTCCCTCCCAATTTTTGCATTGAAATCTCCTAGCAGAATTTTCATGTGATACTTGCCAAATGTATCAAATACTGATTCTACTTCTTCTTAAAAGCTATCCTTGATATCATCACTTTTGTCCGTAGTTGGGACATGAACATTAAGGACAATGATGTCGCACCAACGTCTTTCCAGATTTACATAAGAAAAGACACACATAGAATGTTTAAAAATATACCGTAGGATACTGGTAGTTTAAAAAGTATTCTGACAAAACTTATTGTTTTGAAACTATTGCAACATATTGAAGCATAAAAAAAGGATTGTGTGCATCTGAGATATGAAAGCAGACACCTCAGTGCTTCCTAAAAACTGCAGCTGTCAAATGTTTGATCACTGCTGTTCACTAGTATTTGCTGCAAAAGGTGCAGGCTCGGCTCTCCTGACACTAGTATAGGCTTTGGCTGCCTTTTTCAATTGCCGTGGTCGTGCCAAAGAGTCCATCCTAATCTTGCACGTGGCTTGGCCTTGAGTGGCGATGAGACAGACTGCCCTGCCAGCTTGGCTATGGCTAGTGTCCAGATGATTCCCAGTGTTTGTTAAGCTGCTGTTTGAGCACACTGCATTCAGATGCATGAATGGCAATATGGCTACCATACATCTCTAGAAATAGACCCAGGACTTCATTTTTCAAAAAAAATCGTCGTATAGGCTTTGGCTGAGGGGGCACTCCTGGACACACAACAGCACCTCTTGCAGCTCATTTATCTGACTGCACGTGGCTTGGCCTTGAGTGGCGATGAGACAGACTGCCCTGCCAGCTTGGCTATGGCTAGTGTCCAGATGATTCCCAGTGTTTGTTAAGCTGCTGTTTGAGCACACTGCATTCAGATGCATGAATGGCAATATGGCTACCATACATCTCTAGAAATAGACCCAGGACTTCATTTTTCAAAAAAAATCGTCTATAACAATGTTCCCCATGTGTGACTTATAATGATTTTATTGATGTTGATAATAGCATGTTGAATTTTATTTTATTATAATGCAGAACTTCCCTTATGTGCACAATTTGGCTCTTCGTAGATCGAAAATCAAGCAGTAGCAGCTTTGATCAGTTCAGAAAAAAGGCGAGTGATATGGGCTCCTTGACGCGGCGTGGTTCGTTGGAGCGTCGCAGCAACTCGGAGAAGAGACGAAGCTGGTCTCCTGAAGATTTTGGATCAAGTTTGGATACATTCCGCCCAGTCACTCTCACAGTTTCCAGCTTCTTCAAGCAGGTTGTTTGTTGAAATTAGGACTGCAAAAAAATGTTAATTTAAGAATTGAAACTGAAACAGGTGATGATAAATGAAAACGTTGAATAAACAATTAAATTCCAGCACATGAAGTGCTCTGTGGCTTATCCTTCTAGTTCTTGTCCTTCGGTTTTCACCAAATTTTGCTAATGAGCCACAGATTGTTGAAGTTTCCCCGAGAATTTTGGCAAAAACTGCAGTTGCCACCTTCAGGGTGGTGCTATCAAGTGGGAAGCAACCAATGGCTCAAGAAGAGAGGTGGTGACACATGGTTAGAATAAGAGTGCTAAAATGTGGCAAGTGACTGCATGATAGTCAAAACTTTTTCACCGCTTGTTTTTCTAACCAGCCTCCCCTTTTTTTCTTTCATGATGTATAAAATTTATGAATTATATTTTACTTCTTACAGGAAAGTGATCGCTTACGAGATGAAGACCTCTTTAAATTCTTACAAGAGCTGAAACGTCCTTGTTCCGTTATGAAAAAGTTGAAGTGTATACCTGGGACATTGAAACTGGACATTTCTCCGTGCCCTGACGAACTTAAGTATTGTCTTACTCCTGAGTTGGTTCGTCTTCAGCCATATCCAGGTAGATATTATCTTGTAGTTGGTTCATTAGTAATGTTGAATGTGGTCCTGGTGGTCAAAGAATAAGGCATTGTGCCAGACGTCTTGGGTTTGAGATTGCCTGAATGCCTTAACACATCCTGTGACAAAGAAAAGGTGTATGAGTGTAAGGAATTTCACTGCTGAGTCATGGCTGTGAGCCCATGTTATGCTGTAGGTCATGTCAGTCCCCTGTTACAGTCGTCATGCTACCATCATGGATAGCAGGTACCTTGCAGGGTAAGAGGGGACAGTTTTGATCATAGGTAATAGAACTACGAACTGATTAATGGCTGTTTGGGACAACAGTTTAATGTCTTCTTCTGAAGTGCTGTTTACATTAAATTACGCTTGTTATCGCTAAGCACGTAAAGACCATAAAACGAAGGTATACCTTTTATGCTCTGTTAAAAACCATGAACTTTTTTGATTTGTATTATATGAATTAATTGGTTTTGCCACTGATGATGACCTCTTGAGGTCGAAACGCGGTTGGCATTAGTGTCCTTCTAAGTGTAAACAGTTTTCTTTGTATGCATGTATTATATTCCAATACACTACACGGTATGCAAGGTTTTAAAACTTAAAGACCACATGATTATCATCATCGATTACCACTGTTGACTTAATTTTGGTGTTTTTCCTATTTGCTCATTTAAGGGCTGCTGTTAGCCATTGATTGGCATTGGTTACACTTACTGACTAAGGATTTAGTGTCATTGCGAATGCCTGACCACAAAATATAAGAATTTGGCGTGGGCTATTCCCGGATGGATCTTTACTGTCTTAGAATGCTGGCTTTCTGCTACACGGTTATTAAATACCAAATCAAGGCTGTAATTTGGTTGTGTATATTTTTCAGATGAAAAAGGACGACCCACTAAAGAAGTGCTAGAGTTTCCGCCAAGAGAAGTTTTTGTTCCACATTACCTGTATAGGAATGTGCTGTATGTGTATCCTAAGGAAGTGAATTTTGCTAGTCGAGCAGGTGAGACATACTTCAGTATTTTGCCATGTTGTAGAAGAATAATACATTTTCATTATGTTCTTTAATAAAAAGTGAGTAATTAATAGATATGCTAGAACAATAGTCAAATCTGATTTTAAAATCAAATTCATTTTCATAGTTGTTTAAATGTAAAGAAATGGAGAACCTTTCATGTGGGGTTTTGAGGGAACTTGCAGTGCGTGGATGAATGAAAATTGCACTTACAGAAGTGTGCAGCGTACACTGTATATCAGCACCTACACTACTAAATACGAGGGTTACTTGAAAAGTCATGGCAACTAAATTTTTTGGGGCAAACACGTTATATTGAAGAAAGTTCAAAATATACATGTGAAAGGGTACGATATACTCCTCCGATTGGCATAGTAAGATCGGGTAGGTGTGAATGGGTGTGGGTATAGTAGGCAAGAGAAAAGGCACATTGCAGAATGACTGTCGAGAATGAACGTCAGCTGGCTGGAACAGCGTTCTTACTTGAAAATAGCAGTGCTTCACGGCAGAAATGTGACTGAATGTCACTCAGAGCTTGTGGAAGCTGTTGGTAATCGTGCTGTACCATACAGAACTGTTGCAAGGTGGGTAGAAGCAAGTGCCGACATGCAACGTAGTGGACGCCCTGTGTCCGTTCATACCGATGTTTCTCGTGCCGTGATCGCCCAGCACATGGAGGAAGATAGGTGCTGGTCTCTGAAGGAGGCAACTGTGCATCAAATTTTACGAAAAGACCTATACATGCCCAAGATTGCAGTGAAGTGTGTGCCACACGAATTAAACGAGGTTCAAAAGTGGACACATTATGAAGCATGTCGTGTGAACCTGGAACGATATGAAATTGAAGGAGACAGTTTCTTGAATCGGATAATTGCCATCGATGAAACATGGGCTAAGGCCTACGAACCTGCCCCAAAAAAATTAGTTGCCATGACTTTTGAAGTAACCCTCGTATAATCATTATGTCTACATATAACTGATCATTCATCCATTGTTTTCAATAAAATGTAACAACAAAATAAGGCCATGCTTATTAACAATAAACATTGTTTTGTGAATATTAACAGAAGTATATGTACAAATGCTATACTTTTACAAATCTAAAACAGAAAATGGCTGTCTTCCGGGTTGTTGCGACCTATTATCTGGTAGAAGTTTAAGTAAATTTCTACCAGATTATATGGCGCAACAACCCAGAAGACAGCCATCTTCAGACTCACCGCTGTTAAAACCTCAAATCCTACAAATCTAATACAGTTTTTTGTAATAAATTTGTTCTCTTTAAATATTGCTTGTCTTAAACAAGTCAGACTTTAAAAGGTAGCATTTCCATGTTCCTTGTTCACTAGGCAATATGGTAGGTTTACATTTAATTGCATCAACATGTTCTGTATTCAAATATATAATATAATTCAAGTCTATACACAAACTTTAAATTGTTGATGTTAAAATTTAAAATTAATATTGATATTTTGCGCTATTCATCGTTATTACGATGTTACAGTATTGCGCTTTACATGTTTCAATGCATAGCAAAATATCAATATTAATTTTAAATTTTAACATCAACAATTTAAAGTTTGTGTATAGACTTGAATTATATTATATATTTGAATTTTAAAACACAAACATGACGCATTTAAACTACAAAAATGTTCTGTATTATACATTTACTTGTTTTACTGTGTCATCCTGAGGATTCATGAGCAGAATCAGAACATTTCTGCTGCAAAACAGATGAAAAACAACAGTTGTAAATAATGCATTGGTAGAATTAATGACTGACTAAATCATGTAATTTAAAAATGAAACTTCACACATCATGCTTATTCCTGGATCTTGTTGACCAAGTTGCTAGTACACAGAGTTCGTTCATTACACTATTTGAAGGATACAGAGATCTTGCACTGTTTGGCTGTTTAGTTCTGTTAGTGGTGATGTTTTGGTTTTTTGTCTGTGAGTAGGATCTGCAAGGAACATCACAGTGAAAGTGCAACTTATGTGTGGTGAGGAAGAATCTCATGCGTTGCCAGTAATTTTTGGAAAGTCGTCATGTCCGGAATACACGACTGAAGCATATACAACAGTCAGCTATCACAATAAGTGAGTTACGTGATGCATACTTTCTGGTCGCCGGTCATCATTAGAAAATTAAGTTACAGTTTCTGGAAACGAGTGTGGCCTTATGCTAAGAACCAACATCTTAGATGACCCATGTCTTGCGTTTCTACACTTATTAGGCAGTTCAAGATATGCAGATATCTCCAGATTTGTCAGGTCTTCTATTTTTTGTATTAAAACACAGTAATGTACGCAGACTGTGGCAGTTTTTTGTATTAATGTACAATTTTGTGCTATGGTTCTTTCTGTTGTATCTGAAACTTTAATTTTGTTAAACTGCAAATGTTAGGAGTCCTGACTTCTACGATGAAATGAAGATCAAACTTCCAGCAAACTTAGGCGATCAGCATCACCTTCTTTTCACCTTCTACCACGTCAGCTGCCAGCGTAAAGTTGAGCAGACCACAGTAGAAACTCCAGTTGGTTATACGGTGAGTAAAATAGGTAATAAATCCTTTGAAGATGTGATAATGTTAAAATATTTTGGAATTTTAAAACCTTGCGTACCATTTAGTGTATTGGAATATAAATCATGCATACAAAGAAAACTGTTTACACTTCCTTCAAAGTGTAAACAGTTTTATTAGTATGCATGATTTATATACTTTGGAATAACTGCAAGAAATCAAAAGTATATTTATGAAGAAGTTAGGAGCAGATTAAATCATGGGAAGATTTCAGTAATGAATATTTAGTCTTCTTTCTCCGATATAAAACCATAAAGATTAAAATATATAGAAATAAATTTAATTTGTGCTTTGTATGCTTGTGAAACTTGTTTAATGATATTAAGGGCAAAACACAGATAAGGGGGGTTTGAGGATGTGATGCAAAGGAGAATATTTTGACCTCAGTGGAGGGAAATAACAGCAGGTCGTAGAAAATTGTATAATGCACAGAAAATTTTAGTTGGATGTGAAGGGAGAAGACCGTGTAGGAGGTGCAGTCATGGATTTGCGGAGAATATTGAAACATGTTAAAGAAATAAGGTAGGGGGGTTTAGACTGCATTCATCTGGCTAGCTCTTGTGAATGCTGTAATGATCCTTTGGTTATGTTGGAAGTTCAGGTGACTGGCTTACCTTCTGCAGAAGGACTCTGCCTCATGGAGTTACTTGTTTGTGTGCCTAATGCTTTTACCATCTTGTTTTTTATTGGGCATGATGTGTGGTGGTAGCAATGTAGACGTGAACTCATAATATACTGTATATGAATATCATCCGAGTAATTGACTATTCTTGGATTTTCTCAGTCATCCTGTGCAAATGGCAGGATAGTTTCATGAAACAGGTCTTCTTATATTCCTTGTGTGCTTTGAAAGAACCTCTTTTTGGTAATGTATGTCAGAAATAATCCTTTCAATTTCTTAAGTGGTTGCCAGTGTTCCACGATGGACGTCTTCATACTGGGGAGTTCTGTTTGCCTGTCATGATTGAGCGCCCTCCTGCCAACTACTCTTACATTCTCCCAGATGTCCTGTTACCTGGAACCAAGTGGGTGGACAACCATAAAAGCATATTCTCTGTGACCTTGGAGGCTGTTTCATCAGTTCATACACAAGTAAGCTTTTCTGTGTGGCACAGGATGCTTGAGAAGGGGGAAGAGGGGAATATTGCTGTTTGAAACTTGTCAACTCCATGGCTGTGCCAATATGTCTCTCTCCCCTCCCCCCTCTCTCTCTGTAAAATAATCTAGAAACTGTTATCAAATTCAGAGGACTTAATTTTTGAAATGATAGAGATTTTTATGAAGTCACATTAAAAAATTGTTAAGAAATATGTATGTGTGCTTATCTTAAGTTTTTTATGAAGAGTCTGTAGCCTGTATCATGGAGCAGATGAGTAATTAAATTGTAATTAACATATCATTATGTCAGAAGGCAGGAATTGTCACTGTTCGCACAAAACTGCTGGGAAGCGACTCTTTTCTTGACGAGGCACATATGCTGGAAATGAGGTTTCTCTCAACATTCAGTTGTAAGTTTTACAAAATTGTTTCTGTTGATTCCGTAATTTGTTGTTGTCAGTTTGTGGAGCCGACACTAATAGAATCAGATTGTTGATAGTGGCTCGCTTAGTGTGTGGGTGAGAAACCTAAACAGTTACATAGTTACTGGGCAATTTATTAAACATATGTTCCTCCCCGACCAGTGTTTGTTGATGTCTGCTCCTTACACATCATACACATTATGAATAGTTCATAGAACTTTTTTTTAGTAATGTCTTCTTTACTACAACAGGATTTTCAATGAAATAAAAAAGCTACTTCTTGGTCATATTGTGTATCACCTACTTCTGAAATTTTTGACATCAATACTTTAAAAATCATTGTCATGAAAAATAATCTGTGTATAAATACAAGTAAAGAATAATCCATAAATAAAGTTGTCCACTTTGTTGTTGGAAAAACATAGCAACGTAGCACATGAATGGCAAAGCTAGTGGTGTGTTAGAGTGACAGATGAAAAACCCCATTAATTCTTAACCTCAGAACTAGATGAATGTAAGTGGTCAGATTCAAGTTCTGGCTTTCTTCATCTTCAAGGAAAGAGCCACTGGAGGCATTTATGTGCGTGCTGGTGAATAATAAAGTCTTAATGCCTCTCCTGTGAATGAAACTCTGGCCACCCATCTAGTGGCCTGTTTCTTAACTGATGACACATTTTGACTGTGACGAGGTGCGATCGGAAAGTTTCAAGACCGCCTATAAAAACCCGTACACTTATCTCAGGTATTAAATTCATCCATCACCCTCGAAGTAGTTCCCCTGGGAGTGAACACAACGATCCCAGCGCCTCTGCCAAGCCTGGAAGCATCCCTGGAAATCTTTCTTTGTCAGCCTGTCAAGCACCATCTGCGATTCTGCCTGAATCTCTTCTATC